ATGCACCAACATGAGGCTTCATAGGCATGCCATTGATGAAGTCTAAAGCTTCCTCAAGTCGCCCAGCTCTCCCATACATATCAACCATCAAGCCATAATGCTCAAGTTTAGGGTCAATCCCATAATCATTCCTCATTGAGTCAAAATGCTTTTGGCCTTCCTCCACCAACCCAACCACACTACACCCTTTCAAGACAGAAATGAAGGTGACTCCATTTGGTTCAACTCCCTCTTGTTTCATAGCATGAAAAAGATTTACACTCTCCTCACCAAGACCATTCATGGCCAACCCACCAATGGCACTACTCCAAGTGTAAACATTCCTTTCCTCCATCCCCCAAAAAACTTCCATCGCCCTATGAATGTTCCCACATTTCGCATACATGTCAACGAGCGCAGTGCCCAGTGTCACCGTCATCCTAACCTTGTACCTCTCCACATACGCATGAACCCATCTTCCATGATCCAACGCACCCATGTGAGTGCAAGCAGACAAAACCAAAACCATGGACACCTCATTAAGTTTCACACCCTCCATCTGCATCAATTGGAACATTTCCAAAGCCTCCCTCGACCTCCCACACTGCGCGTACCCCGCAATCATCGCATTCCACGCAACGTGATCTCTGAGAGGCATTTCATCAAACATCTTACGTGCCAAGTCAACATCACCACACTTGGCACAAGCATGAAACATGGCGGTTCGAGAAACCAAGTCCGGCTCGACAACCCCATCAAACACACTACAGCACGAACTGAGACAACCCAATTCCGCATACATGAAAACCAACCCGGTTTGCACGTGCGGGTCGCGCTCAAACCCGTACTTTACGAGAGCTCCGTGAACAGTCAAACCTGTGACGTGTGCGTGAAGATGTGCGCACGTGCGGAGGAGGAAGGTGAAGGTGTAGTTGTCTGGGGAGAGGTTGTGGAGAATGTGGGTGTAAAAGTGGAAGCTTTTGAAGGGTGTGGGGCTCTTGGAGAAGGCTCTGATGATGGAGTTGAGGGCGAAGAGGGTGGGGTGGTCGGTGTGGTGGTGGAGGACGTGGGTGGCGTAGTTGAGATTGGTGGCGTTGCTGAGTGCCACGGTGGCGACGAATTGGCCGTGGAAGTGGGGGTGGTTGAGG